CAGACAAAATATGTTATGATTACTAATAATTAAACAAGATATATAAACAATGTGAAAGTGTAGCATTTTACGATAAAAGACACCGATTTAGCGAACATGACGTCATTAGAACATGTTGATGTGCTCTTGCATCAGGGAATTCAAGGTCAAAAGGTCAAATCAGACGCTGATAAGTTATTGGTCAAGCCTTTTTGTTTCCTTTATTCCGACAAAATTATACAATCAATCAAAACAAGTTTAATACCAGAAGAAAGCTAACGATTAGTATTTTCATTAACCGCTTGCCCCAAAGTCGCTTGACCACAGTGAAACGAGTGAGAGCTTGCGAGAGGGGCCAAAGAGTGATTGAAACTCGCTATTTGCTCTTCTCCAACGCAAAAAGAGACGACATTGTGCTGGATAAATATATTTTTTCCGACAAAAGTACAGAAAATTTGCATATGGTCTTTTTATATTATACTTTATGAAATGTTACCCGAGAAACGCAAATTTTAGACAACTTCACTTTTGCATGGAAAAATGCTTATTTGTTCTAGGCACGCTAGTCAGATTGAGCGGATGATACAGCGTTTCCATATGGAAATGTGCAAAGATCTTGCGTGATTCTTACGATGTTATTACGACGTTCGTAAGGCTGACTTACGAAGAGAGGTTTTCGTACGAGGTTGAACAAAATTTTGGACAAGACCATCGACCAATCTTTGAACTTACGAACGGTCTACGAACGGTCTACAAATGCTTGTTAGTACAATATGATATTCTTGATGAATATTTTTTACATGAATATAGTACGCGTACTATGTATCCTATACTAAGTGGGGGGGGGGGGGGGGGGGCTTTGCTTATGCATGGCCTTCGTTGTGGGCTGCTCTCCCTCGATATATTAGTAGTAGCAGCTCAGTGTTACAATTTTTTTAACGCGTATCGTTTTAATTCGGCATATTCGGCATGACAATTCAAGCAGATCGCATTAGTAAATTTGATTACAGAATAAAAACGGTGTGTATACTGCTACATAATTATTATGTGTCTCAGCAAGCACAAGTTGCAGAAGATCTATATTGTACTACATCCTTCTTTCACAGAATTTTATATCTGTATCTCTATATTAGTTCTACTCTTCTTTCCCCCTTATCTGCACGCGAACAAAAAATGTGTGTGTGTGTGAGTGTGTGATTGTTTTTTTTACAGACGTGTAAAAATATTTTGGTAGATGCTTTAAATGAAGGTTATGCCATGGGGAGTTTATCAATATCACAAAAACTAGGGGTTATTACTTTGATTGAGAAGGAAGGGAAAGACCCTCGATACATAACAAATTATAGGCCGATTACATTATTAAGGAAGTCATACACGTAGACCAGGTGGGCTATATGAATAATCGTAATATTGGAGAAGCTGTATGTTTAATTGATGATATGTTCTGTTTTTGAATGAGGAGTCAGATGATGAAGCTTGTATAGTTATTTGATTGCGGTTGATTTTGAAAATAAAGCATTTGATTCCGTATCTCATACTTTCCTCTTTAGAGTCTTAAAAAGGTTTGGGTTCGGTCCCTCATTTTGTTCGTGGGTAAAAACTATTTACAGTAATATAAGTAGCTGTGTTATGAATGGGGGTTTTGCTACTGGTTATTTTGATATTAAGGCAAGGAGATCCACTCTAGCCCTATTTATTTATTCTTGCTATTGAAATATTGGCAACAGAAGTGAGGCATGATGAGCTTATTAAAGGCGTTAATATTAGAGGAATTGAAGTCTAACATTACAATATCTTGTAGAAATAAAGAATGTGTAGGAAGAGTAAATGAGATGTATACGTTATTTCATAAAATTAGTAGTTTAAAGGTACTATGTCCCTTTTGCAGCCAACCTCAAATTCTGTAGAACTTTGCAGGAATTATGAATATGTCATGTATGTTCTATCTGTGAAATTTAAATGTTAGCAGTGTCCTCATGTTCAAATTATACAAGGAAACCCGTTTATTTGCTAGACTTCACTGTCAGACCCTATTGAGGGTCAGACTGGCTTTTTTCTTCTTTGGTAATAACATACATGAAAAGAGTTGTAAAGGCTACATGAGCATTTGTCTACATCAATAACCCACTTCTTGTGATGGCCAAGATTAAACTGATTGAATCTTTGCGCAGCATAAAACGTATGACCATTCGGTACAATTGTCTGAAAATCAAGACTATTACTTTTGGGCTCTATAGCCCTAAAGTCGATTTGACAACTAATAGTCATTATTTTCCCACTTGAAGACATTTTCAAGCCCCACCTTTTTTAGGGAAGTTCTAAATAAGTATTATCTTTCAAATGCAGTTGAAATTTAACTTTTTCATTTTTTTGGCCTGCAAATGGGACATAGTACCTTTAAGGGTTACTGCAGAAAAAACGAATGTTATCAAATTGGGGAAAAACAAAGACAAATCAAAAAATCTTCCCTTTGGAAATGTGGTTAAAGAAATTAAGAATTTGGGAGTGTATTTTGCGCTAGACGTCAGAATAAGAGAGGGATTGAATTCTAAGGAGATTTTAAGCAAGATTAAAAGACTTCTCGGATGGTGGAAACACGAGGGACCTTACGGCGTTTGGAAAAATTCATTGATTAAAAACATTTGTATCATGTAAATTAAATTACGTTTTTGCTTCACTAGTGGTTCCAAAGTGGGTCATATCTGAAATACAGAAAATATCTTTTGAATTTATATGGAATGGGAAAGATCGAATTCAGAGATTAATATGTTATCAAGTTTATAATGAAGAAGGGTTACGAATAACTAATTTTGACTCGTTTCTAAAAACCCAACGTGTAATGTGGGTGAAAAGACTATTGTATGGAGAAAATCTATGAGATGGAAGCTATACTTTGATTTCTGCTTCAAGATGGTAGGAGGTAGATTTATTTGTTTGTGTAACTATGATTTCAAGTCATTAAGTTTTAAAGTACCTAAGTTCTATTTAGAAATGATCAAAGCATGGGAAGAGTTAGAAGGTTGTACGAATTTTGAAGAATTTTTTTTTTTACAATAACACTTTCTTATTAAAAAAGAAAACGATTTTTGTTGTTTACACGCAATATAATTTCAGTTCAACATATTTTTTGCTGAAAATGGCATGCGGTCAATATCTCATTTTTAACGTTCGGGGTTAAAAGGAAACAAAATCGTTGATGTATGGAATATTGGGGAAGCTATTTTGAGAAGCGGAAAAAAGGATAACTGGAGTTAAGTGGATGTAAAATAGTATAATATTTTAATGCAGTTTAACAGTACTGTGAAGCTCCTCAGAGATGTATTATCGAGGGAGGTTTATGAATGTTTCATAGAGAAGTTACACAATTTTTGAAGATTCATGATGGACGGGAATTTTCAGATTTTTCAACTGAGGTATGTAGAGAGATATTTAGTAGGCCTAGGAAAGTTATTCTTATTAACAGACTAAGATAAATTCAGTATAAACTGCTTCATGGAGCAATATACTAGAGAACACTTATTCAGATTTGGCTTTGTTGAAGATAACTTGGGCTCATTTTGTAAGCAAAAGATTGAAACATATTTACACTTGTTCTGGGAGTGTGTAAATGTTCAAAGATTACGGCAGAATGTAAAAGCTTAGTTTGAGCTAAGGAAATTAAGGCCTGTCGACTGGGTAGATATTCATTTAGGAATGTCCTGTAATTCCCCACGAATAAAGATATTTAATACAATTATTTTTGCAATGAAATATTGGATATATAGATACAGGGGAAAGTCCGTAATATTGTCTTTGGATGAGTTTCAAAAAGAACTGCTGGAATTTAGGGAAGAAGAAAAGAGTATTGCAGGGAGGGCAGGTATATTAGCCTTACATAATTATACAGAAGTGCGAACAAATGAAGTTTTCGTGAACTTTTAACACTGGGCTATTGTAGCCTCGTTTAAATGATTAAGAAAAAAGAGAAGATTATTTCAATTTTTCTGTCGCTCCAATTTTGGGTATTCTGAGGAGGCTAGGAATAGTGTGTGGTATATGTGTGGAGGTGTGGTCGGGTGGTGTGTGTGTGTGTCGCATTGTGGGGGGGGGGGGGGTAGTAGTGTGTTTGGTTGGATGGGGTTATTTTATGTTATGTTACTACTGATTTCATTTTCGTTTTCATCAATCGTACAATCTATGTAATGAAAATGTTTTAAATTTATGTCAAGATGAAAAACAACTGTATTTCATTTATAAGATTAATTTGTATTGTTTGGAATCAATACAAAAAAAAGTATTGAAAAAAAAGTGTATCAATCAGATATGATTATTTACGTCCGGGGACCGACTTTTAACGTCACCATCCGAAAGACGTGACTCAATTTTGAACCTGCGTCCTCAGCTAAATCAGTTTATAACTTTCATTATAAGCTGGATTACAGCAGTATTAATTAGTATAGTCTTTTGTAAGGCGATTCAAAATGTATTTTAAATACCATATCGATGTTGAATATTTTTGAACTTTGGGGTCAGCCTCGAATAAGGGACCTTATCCTACACCTCGTGTTGGGCTGGTCAATGTATTTACAGTTAATCCCATTGATTTTGGTTTCAGCTAGCTCAGTTAGAATTTAGGCCTAGTTGTTTATACTCACACTCTGGAGAAGAGTTGTGTAATTCTTACCTGGTGAAATATGTTTTTATACTGGATGAAATGTTACGCGTTGTAACCAATTTCCGATATTAGACTTAAAATGAAGGAATATGACATTCCAACTGAGATTCACTAGTTAACCATCAAAAAGCATGTCACGGGGTAGGCATGCATTTATATCACTTTGCTAAATTATGGCATTTACTTTCTTTCCTATTCAACGTCAACGAGAGCTGGAAGATACATTTTAAAAAACAATACGCACTTTGATCAATAATCATGACTTCGTTTGAGACATTGACAATGATGACATATTGATCCTTAGCAGTGTAGGCACTATCGATTTTGGCAGTGCTGCTGAAGTGCCATTGTTCAATTCCAAGCAGGCAATTATATCGATCGTTGGTCTACATACTAAAAGCTAGCTTATATACAGTGATCATTTCTCGAACTCGTTCATGGGTCTAGGGCCAGTTCCATATAACTGAGTTGTATTATCAGATTATTTAGGTAAGTTTGTTTCGTATCTGTTTGATTTCGTTTTGTGTAAGTGGGTGTGCATGTGTTAAATATAAACCTTATCTACTGAAGAAGTTTGCCTCGAGAGTGTAAAAGTGGATTTCTCTCCATGCGCTCGAAGAATCCATCGGGACCAATTTAAAGACGATACAAGGTTTAAAGTGTTTTGTTCAAAATTTGGTGTAACGAAGGAAGTCAGTCCGAGGTTTAGCTTTGACTTAATTATTCCTCATATAGATCGGGTTTACCTGAACTAGAAAACGGACAATATTAGTTTGCTGGCGTGAAATAAGGACAGCCTGGAAACATATTAACAATAATTAAACATTAACAAACAGATTGTGTGTAAAGTGCATAACACATAGCCCTGTCATAGGCATGGTTTATTGGTCTCTACGCGCCCTACAGAACAGAATAGAGAAGGAGTTGAATGGTGCACTTCGGTTCATAAGTGAGAGATTTTACAACGTACTAAATAATTTTTGTTTTCACATTAATTCTGAACTTTGCGTACGTTTATATTTCTAATCTATTCGGGAACTTTTGATGAAACCTGAACTGTTTTGTTAGTTAAGTGTTTCTCTATTTATTCAATTAAACTTGCGAATTGGTCGGACTTGCTATTTAACTCCTTGATACGCTATTGTAATGCGCCATAATGTCAGCAATACTAGAGCCAGGGTACTGATTTTGGAGCGCTAGGAATGTCAAGTCTTGGACATGAGCGTCACTCAAGAACCCTCTATTATTATTTTTAGTAGTTAGTAGAAGTAGCAGTAGTAGAAGTAGAAAAAGCAGTAGTAGTAGAAGTAGTAGTAGTAGTAGTAGTAGTAGTAGTAGAAGTAGTGGTAGTAGTAGTAGTAGTAGTAGTAGTATCATTAAACTTATTATAATTATTATTATCATTGTCATCATTATTATTACCGTCATTATTATTATCATTATTAAACAAAGTTGTTTCATTTCATCTTCTTTACAGTGTATGAACTTGGAGAGCAAAATAATGATTCTGTTTTATTTACTTATGTGAAGCGCTTTGAGCATGTTTATACAGAGTGAGTCAGAAAAAATGTCCCACTTATTAAAAGTTGTATTGTTTGAAGTATGAATATTTAATCATGGGCCTCATGATATGTCTTGGTAGAGTTATCCGCCCAGTACATTTAGGTACTATTTTCATTTGAATCTCTGCATGCATGACCGAACATCAGACAATCTTTACAAGACTGCCAGATCTCACTTGCGCCAAGTTGCTGCGTGAGGAATAAAAAAGTGTTTTGAACAAAGACAGCCAGACAGACAAAAAAAAACACACACACACACACACACACACACACACATGAACACACGCATTCGCACACACGTACACACAAACATAATTTCATAAATTCCCCTGTTCTGATTAAGCATTGATTAATTTGTATCAAGATCGCTGAATGTTTAAGTGGCATAACCCTGACAATTTTTCCCTTTAGTACACATTCACTACCACCATCATGTCATCATCATCATCATCATTGTTATCATCTTAATCTTCTTCATCATCATCATCATTATCATCATCATCATCGTTTTTGTAATCATGAAGCACAACATCCGCCAATACGCACCAAGAGGACAGCGGCCACTCAACTTTTCCTACGAGAAGAAGAATTCCGGACAAAAAGTAACAGTTTGGGTGGGCCTTGTCGGGATTGGAACGCTCATTTGTGCGTGTGCGTGTGCGTGTGTGTGTGTCTGACTGTCTTTGTTCAATGCACTGTTTTATTCCTCAGCCCAGTAACTTGGCGCGAGTGAGATCTGGCAGTCTTGTAAAGATTGTCTGATGTTCAGTCATGCATGCAGAGATTCAAATGAAAATGGCCGAATATTCATGCTTCAAACAATACAACTTTTAAAAAGTGGGACATTTTTTCTGACTCACTATTTTTTAGGGCGCTATATAAATATCAATATGTATGTATGTATGTATGTATGATATTCACGTTGTCTCGAAATCAGATACCAATATACTTATTATGATCTTGTCTACCATTACTAAAAGTACTTAAAAATCCAAGAAAATTCTAGGTAGTTTCTTTCACAATGCAATTGCATTATTAGAATCCAACCTTTTCTCTTAAACAGGTGTATGAAGCGTGATGGATCAGTTCGGTGTCATACATGGCCAGGGTTGGATAAAAAGATGCCTATACACGCAAAGGAGTTTAAAATACCTGCTGAACATATCTGTGCTTCTCTCGATCGCCTTCATGGTGTTTGTCTATTCGATAAAAAGTAAGTTCTGCGAGAGTTAACTTTACCGACGTCCACAAGAGTGACAGTCCACTGGACCGATATTTTTCTATCTTTCCACATGCTTTTCTTTGTTTTGTCGGTCTCTTAGGCTGATGGTCTCTGGGATCTTTTGGATATTCTTCATTTCTATATTTTCTTTGTTTTTGCCTCCCTTTTGGTGGACTGTCGGTTTCGTGGGCTGTCAGTCTCGCAGGCTGTCAGTTTACTGGGATGACCTCCATGCAAAGGGACGACCCCTGTAAAAAAAAACTTTAAAAAACAAGCAACCAAACAGACAAAACAGCTTGAGGCGTCCTCCGCCACTAAACTTATCTTCATAAAATAATGGCCTAATCTTCTTAGATAGTTTCGTACTTTTCAAATTCGGGATGATACTTACTTTTATAAGACGGGTTCTAGAAACTAAGCAATTCGATTGATCAATTGACGTCACGTGGACGTGTATTAGTTTGTCCCACCGTGCAAAAAAGCTCTCATCAAAAATTGATAACACACGCTCGATACCTGCCGATATCTCTTTCGCGTAATTCAGCCAAATTTTATTTTGTGCCTAATTTCAATATCTAGATCTAGATCTAGAATATTCTAGGCCTAGATCTAGTAAGATCTAACCTAAATCGATATATTATATCTATCTATACTCTAGATATAGACTATATTAAAAGAATGTACTGCCGACCCGTCTTATGAAACAAACGTCTTAGTCAGTGCGATATCGATAACGCGGGCGCGTGTATTATCACTATGGGCACTGACTAAACTTCGTGCACTGGCCCTGCGCTAACACACCCGCAACAGTGCATTATTTTCTATACTACCGTTATCACCTGCAAGATAACCGCCCCCCCCCCTCAAACGCACTTATACAATTAATTTCCCTCGCATGCAGCCGTTCGTGGTATTTTTTTTATCAAAAACTGAAAAAGATGAGGACCCTGTAAAGTGTAATGTGTGACTGTAAGAAGGCATTGTTAGGAGTTTTGATTTCATCATATAGCGCAGTGGACTATATCTATATAGTAGCTGAGCTTTATAAATAGATCTAATTATTATTAAGTGATTATTATCTGTCAGGATATTAGAGAACACGTCTTGAATGAGATTATCGAACAATTGCTATTAAGACCTGCAATATTTGTTAATTGCCTGCAAATGCTCAATGTGATTTGGATAGAAAATTACATATCTTATGAACATAGACCCAATTTTTAGAAATAGACATGGTGAATGATGAGATGACGTTTTTAGGAATAAAATGAATAAAATAATATCATATTTATTAATCTAAATCTCAATGATTACGCTTGATCAGGTAACTGGCTTCAACGCGGTGTGAGTACGTCTTCGGTAAATCCCATTCCTGAGTCCGTCTGGTATGAGGCTGAGCCTGTCAGTGGGTAAGTCTGTTCTTTTCTTTCAAAACAAAAGAACAAACAACAAAACTAAACAAAACAATACAATTCAATACAATACAATGAATATACTAAGATATTGGGGAAAAAGGAAGCAAAAATAGTCTTGCTACAAACACTGTGCATATATTGTATTTGTATTAACTAGTTAAGAGAGAGAGAGAGACAGAGACAGACAGAGACAGAAAGGGCGGAAATCTGTCTCAACATCTAAGGTGCCATTTCACCCAAAAGAATTAAAACACAAAATTAAGTACAGATATTGTATGAAGTGCGGGTTGCTCGAACCTCCAGAAATGTTTGTTGGCGAGATTTCATCTTTAACACGATCGCAAATACTTTCGAGAAGACAACTCGAAATACTCTATTGTTTACCCCATAGATATCATGTTCGGATTATGGAATACGTTATTGGAATTTGAGCAGAATTCATGAAGTGATGGACATGGCTATTTAGGTTTGCTTTTTGAAAGTATTTGCGGTATAAGAACGTGTATAACGAGTTGCCATGTACATGTATCATTTAATCCTTTCTTCTTGTTATTGTTTTCTTTCAAGAAATAATGATGGGAGGAGAACCGAAGTACATGGAGGTGTTCATGAATACCGTGCTGAACGTATGAACACCAGGACATTGGCCGAACTTACGGCTGACCAAAATGCCAGTCCGACATTTTCTCTACTGGCCAATGTTACACAGCATAGAAAGGGCTTGCCAAATTATTACATTCATGGGTTGAGATCTGGAATAGGAGGGGATTACGCTATGTGCAACATTGCTTTTGTGCACCTTCATAAAGCAGGTGGGACAACCACTAAGGCGGTATTGGGGAAGGTGAGTCAAAAAGCAAAAATGGGTACGGTCATAATGAATAGGACACCTACAAGCAACTTTGACCTTTTTATCCAGAAGGGAGGTACATCCAAGCCGACACTCTTCCAAGGAGGTTACAGCTTTGGCATATGTGATGTATTGCATAAGAGGCCCTGTTCATACATGACGGTACTTCGTAATCCATATGACAGGATCATTTCGTCGTACTTCTACACCTTTGGACGTCACGCTGCACGTCTGTGCGGACCAGTGATACCCGGACACGTCTCAATCACTGCTTGGGCGATTGATCAAGGCGGTCACTTCTTCAATCAACTTCTTATGCACCCGGACACTTGTAGGGATTATGGCTCAAGTATCGATGAGTACTTAAATCAGGATTACACCAAGGATATCATCAAGTACGTGCATGTTAATCCTGGCAGGTGTATGTGTCGACAAAGAGCTCTTCATACAGCGACCTTAACAAAAGAGCAGCGTCGTGCACTTCTCCACTATACCCTTGAAAACCTAGAGAACTGGTTCGCCGTAATAGGAATGTTGGAGGACTATCAGGTATCTCTAGAGCTCTTTGGAGAAGCCTATCAAATGAATTTTACAGCTGAATATTCAGTTCCCCTTAACATGAACAGAAACTATGCAAAAGTGGAAGATACGAATATAAAACAAATGAAAATTGAGCTACTTAATAGTGCAGAAGTAAGAGAAGCGTTGTATGAAGATATCATGATTTACGAGAAGGCGCTAGAGATCATGAAACTTCAAAAAGAAGAATATACTCGAATAAAGAATATCAGATGAGTGATAAAATGTTAATAGCCCCCATTAAAGTTGATGTCCTGAAAATACGAAATTGAAAAGTATTAAGTTGTCAGGGGTTCATTCATTTTACTTGTTGTTGCGGGTATAAACTCATTCGCCGATTCGATCCGGCGCATCTCTACAACACGTCCTTGGTCAGGTGTCACGTAATGGTAAAACACACCCCTAGAGCAAGATGTACTCTTCTGGTCTGCCTTCGATCGCAGCCAATCAAACTGCTACGAATCATCTACACCAACAAAGTGCACAAAGTTGCCAATTTGATAACCATTTATGTAAAAATGCAGCTGCCTGTCAAATATCATCGTTTCATACGTGTTTCAAATACAGCGCGCTAGCTGAGATAAGATGCACTGTGGCTGATAATGTACGAGGCTACGAAACCTAATTCAGAAGTCTAATTTAGAACGAGGAAAATGGGTCTGTCATAAAGATCAACTATCAAATGAAGAAATATTGTTAATTCATATTGGTAACATGTTTCTCCGACTTCAACAATAACAATTTACGTTATTTTATTAGCAGAAACCCTAATTTCATTCGATTTGTTCCGGGGACCGAATCAGCGCGCCGATTCGATCCCCCCGGAACTCGAATCGAATCTCCTGCGACATCGACAACAATATGGGTTGTAACATCACTTAATCTTGAGATTAAAATATTGATATTTCAAATTGAGTGAATCAATAAACCGTAAGAACATCGGGATTAATATGTGTTATCGTTGAAGGCGTCCCTGGTAAGGATAAATTTAAGCGAGGTTTGCGGTTGCACCACGTAGGATGGGTGGACTTTTTTAAGGGCCAACTAATCCTGTCGAATGAACACGTGGGTTTAACCGCAAACCTCACTCAGATCAATGTATAATTGTTGTATTAAAAAAAAAACATTATGTATTCTATGTACAAATTATAAAATGACTGTAGAAATGGTAGATGTATTATTTGTCACATTCCATACAACTGGTATGAGAGAATTCACATGTAAAATGTTATTGGAATAAAAACCTTGGGTTTGATGGTTCTAGGACTCCTACCCCCTGTACATCCACCCCCGGATAACCACCCGGGGGTGGATGTCCAGGGGGTAGGTGTCCGGATACGGGATTTGGTTAATGAAACAGTATTTAAGTGACGCTTTTGGAAATTGAAGAGAATTGATATTTTGACAGATTTCGTTTCATTTGATTGCATCAATTCAAATTTCAAAATAATATATATATTTCAAAATTTCATTTGCAATCCAACAATGCAATTCTGTTAATCACATCTAGTTTGTTACCGAATTTTACCCTTTTTTTAACAGCTATTTAAAAAAAAAAATTATTCAATATTAATTATATATCTTAATATGAATCCTAAAGCAAATACATGTGTATTAATCATCTTTTGCCTAATTCTGTAAAGCTTTTTTATATCTAAATATTTATAATGAATATATCAATGAGATTGTGGCTTTTCTCTGGAATTCATTGTTTCATTTTGTAGTCGGTTGTAGTTGGTCTCAAATTACGCTGCATTTACGGTATTATATTTGTAATTTGTAAGTCTCATTATAATTTATTAACACTTTATCCGATTTTTTTCTAGTTCTCCTTTACAGCCTATTCATCTGTCCTACTCTTTATCTGTCCCTATTATTGTGCAGTCTCCTCTCCAGCTTCTCTTTCTCATTTCTCTACGATCTCTCTCTCTCTCTCTCTTTTTTATTGTCTTACCAGTCCTTCTAATCTTCTATTACATTTGTCTTATTGCCTTCCGTGTCAATCTTTCCTCTTGTTTCGCTTTCTTTTCATTGATCATATCCTTGATTATTTATTGTAAATTGCCATTTATATATATATATATATATATATATATATATATGTTATGCTTTTGTATGTATCTTTTGTAAATTCAATTTGTTTTAGCCTCTGGCTGCTATTTGAATGTTTTTTAATCAATAATAAACCATATCAAATCAAATCAATTGTAAACACCGAAACCATTACGATATTCAATTTCAATTGAATTTCAATTTATTCAGCCAATCATTAAAAACAATTTACAATGACACTGGTACTAGTACAATTATAAGATGATGACAGGCTATGGACCCCTGAGAAGCAGAATTTGTAAATGGGGCCTACTAAAATACAATTAAATACAAATATAATAAAAACATACTATAACAAGCAAAACAAAAAAGAGATATATGTATATTCATACTTATTACAAACGATTACAAAAACACACTCGGCCATACTTACTCACACACACACACACACACACAATGCAATGTACTTTAAAGCATATTATAAGAGAGAGAGAGAGAGAGAGAGAGAGAAGAAGAAGAAGAAGAGAGCAGAATATTTAAAAGAAAAAGGAAGAAGAGGCAACACATGAAAAATGCGTAATATGAGATTAAAACTTATAGTCCTACCCAGTTTTACCAATTAATAAATAGTCCCCTTTTGCACAAAACTTTTAATCTAGACAAAGTTGAACTTGATTTTATATCCTCGTTTAAATCATTCCATTTGCTTATTCCCACATTTCGAAAGGATTTCAGTGCATGGGTTGTACGTACAGGGGGTCTGTGTAATAACAATTTTTGCCTTGTGTTATTTGAATGAACGGATGAATTACTAATTAACATGTTTTGAAAAAGTGCGGAAGATTACCAGTGTGGAAATGATACATTAATATACAAGTATTAAGTGATATTAGTTCTTTGACAGGAAGAACCTTCATTCTGCTAAATAATAGTTTCGTATGAGATATCTATGGAACAAGCTACTATAGACCATTTAATAACATGTTGTCGTTCCCGATTACTGATGATGATTTGATTTTTATGATGATAATAACATTAATAACGAGAAATTTAATTCGTCATGAAGACGTATTAGGTGGTCTGTTATTAAATCTGGTGAACGCTGATTTTGTAAAGAATAGTCACAGCTACAACATACCGAAATTTGGAAGAAATTGATCAATATTAACAGAGGTACAATCAATTGTCCATAGATATGCTGACATCGTAATATGCAAATTCGTTATTTGAGTTCCAAGGCCATTGTGATGATGTCATAATATACTTAAGGGCAAAATGAGACCTGAAATCGATTTCCCGACACATACTCTGTTTGAATATGAAAACAAAGTTGGGGGTCACCAGGTATCCCAAAGAGCCATAATGGATTGAGTATAGGCATGTTTATGTCCATAATATGCTTTGTATTACGAGAGCTTGCACGCACGGACATATATCTTGAATGGACGCTCATTTCGTTATTAATGGTCATAAAGAGATAAACATGATATCAAATTGTTTGGAAAAGAATGGTCAATATCTTAAAAGAAAAAAATGGCGAATCTAGGTTGAGTACGACCATTATGCACGAAAACGCGCGCGCATAGATGTGCATACACACACTTTTTGAAATGCTGCAAATGACCTGAAACGTACTCTAATTTGATCAAAAAGTGATTTTGAGCATTTTAATTTTTTGTGCGCGCACCGACGCGCGGACGGACGCGTACGTGCGCGTTAATTGACCTTAAGTTGACCGGACGGGTATTGACCTTAATCATGATAAATATGAATGAACAATGAATATCCATTATGGAGATATGATCATGAGTGGATTTTCACAAAATGGCGCCTGGATGACGTCACGATAATCTGATGAACTTAAAAAGTTTCCTGTCTTGTCTCATGGTGATGACCTACGACTGTGTCAAAATTGAGAGAAATTAATAATAATAGAAGATAATAATAATGATAATAACAATAATGATCAACACAACAAAAGTAACAAACACAAACACGGTAATAATTATGATGATAATGACGAGGATGATGATGATGATCAGGCGCGCCGGAAGCAGTTTGGAATTGGGGGGGGGGGGGCAAACATTCCAGGGGGCTCACCTTCCAGGGGCAGTGGCGTAATGAGCAAAAACGTTTGGAAGGGGGGAGAAGAAAAATATGCATCACCACCACTCTTACGCGTTACATGCAGGCAGGGGCGGTGATTTCTTTTCATGACCGGGGGGGGGGGGGGGGGACGAAATGCGAGGGACGAGGGAGCAGTGGCGTAATGAGCAAAACCTTTTTTTTTGGGGGGGGGGGGGAAGAATCCCTACTACCACCACTCTTACATGTTACGCACGCCCTGAGAAGGTTTTTCAAAGTGGGGGGGGGGGGGGGGGGGGCTAAAGTATTTACGATCAGCTAGAGCAAAGCAGGCCCTGACATGAAAGCTTCTAAATAAGCATATTTTTCGCCCGACTGTAAATTTGGGAATTTCAAATTTTCCAACAAACGCATAAAAGGTATATGACTTACAAAAAAATTGAGAAAAAATACCGGGAAATCATGTCATTTCAGCAACATTTGTAAATCACTAGTATCGAATAAGAAATACACCCCCCCCCCCCATCAGTAAGCCAGCGTTCAGGGGCTCATGTCTTTTCACAAAAAATACACACGCTCACAATATTTCCACGATATGCGCGTATCGCTATTATAAAAACCTCCATTGATGAATATTTAGGTGGCATGAGGAATGTTTAGGAAATTGACTTACTGTTAACTTTCTTTTTTTTTAATGGAATTTTATATGTGATTTAATCCCTGTTTTTATTATTGTTATGTTCTTTTGGGTTGAAAATACAAACCATCTTTACTCCTTTACTGCATTTCTTTCTTTTTTGGAGGGGGGGGGGGGGGCGTTTTTTTGGTTTTTTTTTGGGGGGGGGGCAAAACGCATTTTTTTTTTTTGGGGGGGGGGGGCAACTGCCCCCCCCCCCCATTTCCGGTGCCTATGATGGCACATACATTATCAATATTACTATTATCATATCCTTTTTTTTTAAACCGTGGAGGAAATGGTCAGGGATGGGTTACGTGATGTAAAATATTTCCACCATAAAACAAAAATTATTAATGTGAAGTCAAACGGACCTTATAACCCATTTGACTGGAATACAATGCTCTATAAATGCGATTGAGAAATGAGAATACCATCAAAGATAGTCCCTCAAATTTAGAAAGTTTCATATATATCTCGTTATTATTAGTTTGGACAAAACTGGTGAATTGTTGATATTGTAAGCTTCATAAATAATTCACCCCTTTGTTTTTCTAGCAATTTTTTTTTCTTCAATGAAGGATATAAATCAAATATACCATGCACTGTTTTAGAGGCAACGGTACAATTATTGATCAAGAGCCCATGATTTATACCAGAGCCTCTCATGGTACATTTGACTTTCATTATTCTTCTTATTATTATTATCATCATTATTATTATCATTATTATCATTATTATTGATATTATCATTAATATTACTATAATGGCCATTTTGCTTTTGTTGATTTTATCATTACTATCATTCTTTTTCTTCTTCCCCTTTTTATTCTTCTTCTTCATCATCTTCTTCTTCTTGTTCTTCATGTTATTAGTAGTAGTATCATCATTATCAACATCACCACTATACATGTATGGAAATCAGCAATGACATTTCACTCAACAGTTTTGTTCGTATAATCATACTTGACTCATCAAGGAAACAAGCAAAACACCACTGCTTATTATGAATGCACATTCTTTTATTTATAACTGCGAGTAATGAAGAAATCGATACAATTAGTAAAACTTTAAACTTCAATTAAAATCAAAACTGTAACAAACGAGGACAAAGAACAATTGGAGGGTATAAAATGATGGTGCAAAGAAGTTAAAGAACCCTCTAGAACAGTACGTAAAATGGGAAAAATGCTTGCAAAAACATTTAAAATTCAATCTGGTAATTTCAATAGCCTAATAGCCTAGATAAATCATTATATGCGTATGTTACAACGGCATAATAGCCGAATCATAATTTCTTAGTGAAACACTTACCCCGTGTCCACACACACAACATTCATCGTATAGCTATCCCGAAAAGGTATAGCTGTAGGCCTACCGTTTCGGGAAGGTGAAATTATATGTGTGTACGCTTAAACGATACGTCGTATAAAGAAACGTGGGTCTGGGCGTCGATTCGAACTCGATAAAGAATCATGGAATGTTTTGTGTGTGAACGTATGGTCGAACTAGAACGGTATAACTGGACGCGGCTGAACGTGACCGAGCGCGAAAGGAGACCTGACCTCTCAGTTCCACTTCCGTTTCATGACCGCGGCGCGGCGCGATAGCAAACTGCGCACCTATACGACGTTTCGCTGTAGAGTTTCGGGATAACTTGCAGCGTGTCCACACACAATCAATTTTGTATCCCGAAACCCTATAAAGAAACGTTGTATAAATAATTATCGTATAGCGAACAGGGCGTCCACACACAATCTTGTGCTTCTTCTTCATCTTATCTCATTGCGGAAATAACAATTTTTAGTTAAATTGCGTGGAGCATCAGCAGTGGAAACCGGTGGTTTACATAGTGTTTGCATCAGTTACAAACACGAAATCTTGATAAACCGTTGGGCTATCTACCGCTTGCCACCTACTACGTTTTTAACAGGTATTTCTTTATTATTATAATCATCATCATCATCATAGACGCCGGAAGTGGGGGGGGGGGGGCAGGGTGGGAACCCCCCCCCCCCACCAAAAAAGTGGAGGGGGGGGGGGGGCCAAACGCATTTTTGCCCCCCAAAACGCCCCCCTCCAAAAAAGGAGAAAGCAGTAAAGGAGTAAAGATGGTTTGTAATTTTAACCCAAAAGAACATAACAATAATAAAAACCTGAATTAAATCTTATATAAAATTAAATTAACAGGAATTAAATTTCCTAAACATTCCGCATGCCACCTATATTTATCAATGGAGAATTTTATAATAGCGATACGCGCATTTCGTAGAACTATTGTGAGAGGATAGGAAAGCGTGTTTTTTTATTAGAGCATTTGTATGATGTTCTGGAAGTTTTGACTAATCTGGGCTTGAAGAAATTGAAGAATTACCGATTTTGTTTTTATTGATTATTTATTTATTCGTAAAGATCAATTCCACCTCGATTCAGACTTTTTTCAGCAGTTTTACAATAAATCAAAGGGTAAAATAAAACACAAAATCGCGCCGTAACGTTCAACGGTTGCTTCGAAAGAGATTTGTTTGTGTCGAATATTTCGAATTGAAATTATTAAATTTGCAGCACGAAATCCAGCTATAGAAAAAGCCTATATCAGCTACCCTGGAATATGGGTGAGCTGTACTGAGCATGTGCAGTAGAAGCAGACTACATCTCCTGGAACTGAAATGATACTTACACTGTTAAAACAAGTATTAAAAAACTGCGGGTTAAAAAAATGTAGATTAAAAAACGCTCCACCATGGTTAAAAATGTAGTGTTGATTAAAATTTACTTTTAATCTTGCGTTGGTTAAAAACAGTGTTGATCAAAACAATTCCTTTTAACCTATTTTGGTTAAGTCCAAGTCGTTGGCAAACATTGTAACCCAGCATGGATTAAAAACAAAATTCCGACAGTAATGATAGCCCCCTTCCGGTTAAGTTTAATCAATGTTGATTAAAGTACTGGTCACGTGACCCAACGGAACGATATCGAAGCGCGTAGCTAGCGATTGCTCGACAGTCGACATAGCTACAAGTACACAAAGTACATGCTACGCGTGCGACAAATTAACAATGGAGGTTGTCGCGAGGACGCTAAGGAAGAGGGGGTTTGGACGGTCTTATCTCCGTGTTTTCAGGTAAGAAATTATTTTGATATTATCATCATCAATTCTAAGATTGTAAGGAAGAGGTGAAATAAGGTTCTTGCTCAAATCAAAAACGATTTGTGTCCCGTTAGGCTGTACGTAGCTCAACCAGTATAGTAACTTTTTATTTGCACATTGCACAATGCACCTGGCTCTCGTAAGCACACACACACACACACACACACACACTCGTCAGTCTGCAGGAATCTTCAACTGTGAAGGAGGCACGGACCCAAAGAAAGAGGAGTGTATTAAGCGTTGGTCACATCCCACCGTGCGTGTTTTACGTCCGTACGGTTTTTGGGGAGGCCACGGCCGCCACGTTTTTCTTAAAACGTAGGGAGGGAGTGGCAAAGGCAGGGAGGGAGTACCGGCAACGCGCGTCACACGCACTGTGTAAGTACGTGGCCCGCACGCCACGCCTGGCCGTAAACGGTTGCGTGCATCGTACGTTGCGCACGTGGTAAGTGCGTTGTACGTGCTTACAACGTGCTTACAACGTACGGTCTCTGTGCGGTTGCCACGTTATCGTACGGAGGCCGTACTTACAAGTGCTGCTCACGTACGGTGTCCTTACACACTCGTATGTTGTAAGTCCGTGCACGTGCGATGAACTCGGTGTTTATATAGGACGACATTCCGATTTTCTCCAGAAGTCCCAGCTGTTGCTGCCTCAAGATGCCGCCCATTCCACCGAAGAGACTATATACTGCATAAATCAGTGCGAACAACGTGCGTTGTAAGTGCTTACTCGGTACGGTCCACGTGAGTTCTGCCTGCTCATCGGATAGCTGAACTGGGGAAGTGGCGAGTAAGCACGGACCACGCACTTATCACGTGCGCCTTTAAAAGACGCACGGAGTCAGTGCGTCGTGCGCTCGTTGGCAGTACCGGGCACGCACGTCACACGCACCGGGGTGAATCGGTAGCCCGAACGCAGCCCGAACGCAGCGAAAGTTCCTCGTGCACTAAAAGTGCTACGGTGTGTCTGCGTGCTCCCAAATCCGTACGGAGGCGGTACTCATCACGTACGGATACCTAAATTTTGCCCACGTTTTTGCACGTAGACAGCACGCACTTGCAAGTACGGCGGGATGTGACCACCGCATTACGGATTACCTACCCAAATTACATGCATGAATGATGACTAGACCTATGTTTAAAAAAAATAAATCTAATTATCATCATGAAGTGAAACGTCTTGAATATGCATGCAATTTGGGTAGGTCATCCGTTACACTTACTGAATACTGATTGAGCTACAACCTACGGGCCCGGGACACAAAACCTTTTTAAATTTGAGCAAGAACCTTCTTTCACTTCTTCCTTACGATTTTAGCATTGATGATAATCATATTAAAACAATTTCCTACCTGCAAACACGAGGATAAGACCTCCAAACCACCGTAAGTTTAACCAACAGTGGTTAAAAACTGTAACCAACAACCCACTAAAGTTTAACCAACAACGTGTGAATTAATCAAAGCAGAATTAACCTACAATGGTTACAATTTTAACCAACGACCCATGTAAGTTTAACCAACATGTGAATCAGACCTGAACAAAGCATAAATAACCAACAAAAGGTTACATTTTTAATCAACAAATGGTTAAAGTTTAATCAACACCATTTTAACCAACATTGAGCAAATTTGTTTAACCAATAATTGATTAAAATTTTTAATCAACCACGGATTAAATTTAATCAACAGGCCGTTGATTAAAGTTTAACCAACGATTGTGTGATTCATATGGTAATCCGTGGTTGATTAAAAATTGTAATACTTGTTCTAACAGTGTAGACCTGAAGTCTGGCTTAGTTAAACCCGGGTTTAAAGTAAAACCTGGGCTTAACTAAACCTGACTTCAGAATACGGGCCATTGTCTTTTTTTTCATTGCGATATTATGCTAATAAGTTGAAAAGTCCTCATGAATATTCAAATTAATAAATTACATATTTTACGCGCTGCGTACAGGCCAAAATATCTATTTCGCTGGTGCACTAAAAAGTTGTCGTCTACATAGACTTTTTAGTGCACCAGCGATGTATTAGCCTATTAGGCTAATACATAAAAAGTGGGAGCAGTGTGTCCTTTTGACCATCCGAAGTTTCCCCATGGCTGGCTGGACGCGTCATATTTTTTTTCGAACCACAGTGAGCCCAGATTGATGGATGAACGGATGCAGAAGCGGAGTTGAGCTCCTTAAATATTCAATGTAAATGTCGCCATCTACTGGCAAGAAGAAAAATTCACGCTGTACATGCCATGCATGCACACAGTTTGAACGGGAATGAAAGATGAACATAATTATAAGTCTATTGTCACATTAATTTCATATAGAAATTATGCTTTGAAAACCAGACCGATTGATTATTAAAATGAGAAGAGGGGGGGGGGGGGTGGTACTGCATCCTTGCCTTTGCGTCAGATACGTAAGACAATGCAAATAATGGGTACGCGCATGAAGATATGCGCAGCCTTGTTCACTTTTGTACGCTTTTTACCGTGTAAAGAAATATTAATTATTACCCCGGTCATCAGATTTAGGATGACCTGCACAAAATGTGTGCACATTCTCCCTCTCCGAGGATTATTCAATCCGGGCGTTCAAAATGCAGAATCTTATCAGATACTCATATAACACCTTGGTGTCGAGAGGCAAAGTCGATAAAATGCCATGCATATGGGCATGTATACATGTATTTATGTATTGTTATAATTGACGTTATTTTTATTGTTAATAAATTATTATTATTATTACTATTATTATTTTTGTTATTATTGTTATAAATATCATTATATACCTCATTTAGGAAATCCAGCCATCTGATTGGTCGAAATTGCATTCATAAACTTTAACTATTCCTGTAAAATTCCCGGTAAAATTCCAAACCCATGTAATAGTTAAAAAAATAGTCCTAAAATCCCAGTTACCATGGTTACCGGGAAAATAGTTCTAAAAATAGTTCATCATTATTATAATTGTTATTATCATTATTATTAGTAGTAGTAGTATTGTTATTTTTCATTCTTTATATTATAACCATTATTATTATTATTATTATCATTATTATTATTGTCGTTGTTTTTGTTGTAGTAGTTGTTGTAGTTGTTGTAGTACTGTTGTTGATACTATTAGGCAGACCCGGGAGTTTTTACAACCATTTCCCTTATTAACCCTTTTCTTACGGGAACCTGGTGTTCCCTGTGTTAAGCTTATTGGACCTATACAATTCAGTAGTCAACGGGTTAAACATGAATATCAGCGAGAGATTAATGACCATCTGTAAGGTTTCATAATTAAGTACTTTCCAGTAGCATCGTATCATTTCCGGGCGGAGAGTTCACAGCGGGGGAGAGTTCGAGATAGTATGCAGATACTTTTTTCATTAATACGACCGCCTGATGAGGAGAGTGAAAAAGTAATAAACATCCTCTCCCATCCTCACCATGATCACAATTCTACCACAGGCGTTCTGGCCAATATACTGTTATCGTGTGGTATATATAATCGGTAGTGTATTCAAGTGTTGTTGATCTATACTGAAGAGCCATCGTAAATAACCATCGCATGTATGAGTGAGTATTTCTATAGCCTTTAATGTTTTGTGAAATCTTGACATTGATAGTCAAGTGCAACATAATGATAATTATTATGTTGAGTATCAAGATACGCTGGTATGCATTGCATCACAATTATAAACCACTAAATTAATGATGATGGAGATTCGGAAAGAGGATGGTAGTGGATCGACTATTGAATTCATATATTACCTGTTATTAATGTATTGTACGAGAAAAATATTTATCTGTGCATTATAATTTCTAGAAGCTAAAATTCAGTGACACAGTGTTTTCCGCCTCTAAACGGTGATCATGGATTTTTTGTAAAATAAAAAAGAAGGAAATGAGGCAAAAATAATTATCTCCTACCATGCCTATTCAATGTCCACTACTCTAGTTGGGTGCCTTTCATTTCTGCTACATATCTTTATCCATGATATGCAACTGATAGTTCACTGCATGTGTTACCAGTTTGTTTTTGGTCAGTTACGCATACGTTTAATGACAAATATGGTAAATGGCTTTGTAAGATACAACTGTTGTGAAAAAAAAACTATAATAATATACATCTATTTAGGTCATGTGTTATGAAATGTTTGTGTGTTTGTTTTTATTTGTTGTGGAGGAATCGCAAGAGGAAATCTGTTTATGCTTAAATAAGATCTATCGTTTGATGGAGAAAAGAGAACACTCATGATATCAGGTTATATGTAAGACTATGAACAATTTCTTCTTTCAGGAATCTGCTATCTATGTTTGTTTATGTAATAGTTTTGTCGGCCATATACACGTAAACCATATATCTTCGATTGATACACTTACTTAAATCCCCACTGCACTACGTATAGCTACTTACGCCCTCTATCTAGCAAACAGTGCCTAATCGGTGACCGTTGGTCCCCTTTTCCTTATGTTAATTGAGGGCTGATTTGGTGAGATAACCACCTGACAGTGACCCAGTGCAGGGAGGTCTAATCCCTCCATGGCAAAGTAGTGCAGATAGGCTTTAAGATTTCTCTCTTTCTCTCTATGCAAAAGTGCTATATATTTCTTTACATTATGTTTGTGTTATCCATCCATGGTTATAATATAATCATAAATAATTAAATTTTAGTTATTATGCGCTATTCAAATTTAGGTTATCATTTTCATTATTATGATAACAAGAATGAATATTATTATCATGATTATTACGATTATTATATTATCACTGTGATTATTATTATTATTATAATTTTTAGCATTATTATTATTATCACTATTATTATTCCTTTAAACTACAACGCAATATTTACACTGGAATGTATTTACATTATACTCTTTATTTAGTTTCAACTACTAAAAATCTCATTTATATAAAAGTGTATATTCAAAGATTCAAACATTTGCGTCTTTCAATGAGAAATATCTTATTCTGGGACAACCCCGAAATCTATATCATTCAGTATTTTATTCAATACGCAACCTCGAGTCAGATGTAACATGCCCTGTAGCAGAAAACGGTATTGAGCCATCTCCAAACCGATATTCGTTGCTTACCATGGCCGTTTTTATTCGATTTAATATCCTGAAGGATTGCAATTTAATTTGATCAGATTTTCGGGGCCTTGAAAATATCCCTACTCCTGGTATAGCCTTCTATTAGCAACATCTAATAGTGTTACCACGGCAACGAGATAAATAATTGAATCTGAATCTTCTTCATTGATCTTGGCTTTGTTAAAGTCCCCTGGATTCGAATATACATGCATGAAATGAAAGCAATGATATTGTGATTATTCATGATAATGGTGTTCTATTATATTTAACATAAATCCTGTTATCTTGTTTGTGTTCTTGCTAGTTTGGTATAATTCAAGACTGCTTATTTACGCCAAGATTTGAATGGACAATTGTGTTCTTTTTCGAATGATTTCCCTTTTAAAGAAAGTGGGAGAAATAAGAAGAGGACGAGAGAGGGAGAGGGGAAGACAGAGAGAGAGAGAGAGAGAGAAAGAGTAAAAATAGATAAACTACTCCATGTTACGTGTACCTATTGCATTTATTGCCGTGAACGTACTCGAAAAGACCAAAGTTGTGATAAAGATTTTTAAAAATCATTCGTTCAATTCAACTGAATTCATTTTTAATTCATTTCCAACAGAAAGATAAACAAAGGTATTATATATATTATTACAGAAAGTATGACAAAAATATGCATGTACATATTTCATTTGTCAACGCCGTACGGAATACGGAGTATTCAAGAGATTCATAAAGACACGATAATGTTACAACATGTACGAGGGAATTCGAACAAAAGTATTCATAGGCACGATCACAGGTTTGTGCAAATAATATAATATATATGGTTTAAGGACCGGCCGCATAACGCTGATAACAATAACGTTTTGATACAAATCAATAATTCACCCTACAAGGGAAATAGTAGGCAGTGATTGTTATAGGGTGTTTTATTTTGTATCTATGTCTTTATCAAGTTATTTCTCGAAAAACTGTAAGAAATAGATATGTTTCTATATTTTTCTGTATCGTGTTATTTGTGAAGAAAATGTATTAACAAAAAAGACCATACAAAAAAATAATTAATCATTAAAAATATAAATTGTTTTAAAAAGCCCTTGAATCAATGCATGCATGTTTCATTTTTATTCCTATCAACAGACCTTCATTGTCCTTTCATAATCTCATTTTACGTAGGTTATATCGCTAGATACACACAGCCATCCAGGCTAATTGGTGATAATTATCAAATTTCGATTAATCAAAGCTGGACAGTCGGGCACACTCTTCCTAACCGCCATTATCTTTATTAACCGCCATTATCTTTATTAACCAACCAGACTCTCATCTGTTGTCTGTGTTGTTCGTACACAAATCACCATGGAAACGGCGTTCGGGGTATGCACGTGCTCTGTGTCATCTAATTGGAGAGGATTGCTTAGCAGTAAGGGTGTCATTTTATCATCTCTCATCGTGTTAGCTACCTTAGGTAAGTGGATATTATTATCTACTCCAGTTTCTTCCTCTGTCTGTCTGTCTCTCTCTCTCTTCTCCTTTTTTCGCCTTGTCTCTCCCTCTGTCTCTCTCATTCTGTCTGTCTGTCTCTATATCTCTATCTCACGCTTTCTTTCTCTCCCTCTCTCTCACTCTGTCTCTCCCTCTCTCTCTCTCTCTCTCTTCCTTCTTATGTTCATCAATGTATTTGTCTCTGTCCCCTCCTTTCTACCCTCTCTCTCTACCTCTTCCCCAATATCAGCCTCTACCCCTGTCGCTATCTCTGGCCCTCGCTCTCTCCCTGTCTCTCTCTCTCTCTCTCTCTCTCTCCCCTCTCTCTCTCTTATTTTCTTTCCTGCCTCTGATACTAACCTCAGGAGCAAACATATTCCTATTATTCCGTATGTTTTTTTTTATTACATCATTGTTCATTTAATCTTGTTTTGATCATGTATTTTTTTAAAATCTCTGTTGTTCCCTTCCTGTTTATTTATTTTCATACCACGATGTATTTTTGTATTTCTTTCGTTGCTGTTTATGAAATGCCTTTCTTTATACCTTGTTGGTCTCTTTATATATGCATGGACTTGGTGAAGGGTATCATTTTAATGAGATGCAACTGTTTCCGCGATTGATAAAATATATTAAACAAATAAATCAAACAAATGACAAGTAAATAAAATACTTGGAAAATGAAACACACAATATCATCTCTGAACGATTGGTTCGTCAGTTGGATTATAGAAATCGAACAACCAATACTACCCATTTTCTCTTCTTTGTGAAACATCCACATCGACGTTAATATACAGTACATGCTAGAGTACAAGTACAACTATGATTGGTTCGTATGTGGCGGAATTTCCTGAAAATGTATCGGAGAGAGAGAGAAAGCCTTTGAAGATTGCGATAATGCTCTCTCATTATCCATATTTTAAAGCACCCACCGCAACGAAATTGGACCATGAAAACCTCGATGAAAGTCTATACAAGGTCAAACCATTTGTATGCATGCTCTTTACAGGGGCGTATCCATGCAGGCTGTGGGTATCTGATATGGTGTCGAGTCGGGGTGCGCCCCTCATTTTGAAAGCCCACATATTAGGAAAAAAAGTACATTAAACTTGGATAGGTCTATGAAGCAGTCAAGATTGCACAGACACATTCTACGTTTAGAGAGGACACCCGCCCCCCCCCCCCTCCATATCAATTTCTGGATACACCACTTACCGCCTACCTACCACCAAACACTGAATAGAATTGTGCAGCAACTATAATATTGATAGTCATTTTGATTACAAGAAAACTAATAATATGTATTGGATCGCTTGTTACGGCGTTAGAATTTCAAAAGTAAAACCTATGACCAAATTTTGATCACCGAGTGCCGGCTGTTAGTAACTATCAGGCAGACACAACTTCGCAAAACCGAATGCAGGCAAATACTAAAAAACAGCGAATAACGCACTGTAAATATAATACCCCAGCTCATCGCTCATTACGTGTCAACGTGTACAAAAGGCATTCGTAAAATATCAAAAAGTCAACCTGCATTCGTATTTTTCTTAATTACGTTTTGGATGTATACATTTTTAATGTTAGCCATGTGGTTTAAATCTTTACATGACTAATCGTTTATGGTTTTTGAAGAAAATTCAATCACAGTATAATTACTATTTTACCCCAAAAGATCTATATCGACACTAGGTAACCCTAAAAAGAAGACTCGCATTAGACTTTGAGGGCGCTAAATCCATTGAGCGTTATTCGCTTCTTTCCGAGTACTATGTACTCGGTTTTCCGAAGTTGTGTTTGACTAATCATTAGATTATGACATAGCTACCACGCTACATCCTAATGCATGAACTCGACGTTGAGTAATCCTGTTTACTGTCTAGAACTGTTTCCAATATTCGATTCGAAGATAAAATTGTTTTCTTCCATCTGTTATTTTCAAATAAACTATATTTTAACGATTTTAAACCAAATTTCGAAGAGCGTGTTAACACAAGAAGAAGGCATAAAACCCATTGAGCACAGGCTTGTTTCGGAAACGTCTGTATAAAATACGATATATAAATTCATGAACGAAAGAGAAGAATAAACGAAGTAAAGGGATAGAAAGGGAAAGGAAGAGAAAATTAATTTAGAATAAAGAGGTATACTGAAAATAATGATACAAACATAACGGTTCTGAACTACAACTGAACTTCACGTCATCTTCAACTTAAAATGCAAACGTAAATAATTAATTTTCACCATTTCATCTTTAGCTGCGAATCTCGTTGGATTTGTTTTCCTTTCTTTTTGGCCTCAGAAGAACCAGCGGAGTCAGGGGAGCAAAATTTCTCCCTCCTAAAACCTCAATGAGCCTAAGGGAGCATGCGCGGCTCCAGCAATTGGGTCATTTCGATGGCATAAATCTTTTTTCCCGCGCAAAATAATTTCTCCAACGTCAGCTTCACCTCTCTGCCAATGTCGTCTGCATTTACCCGAGGCCAGAAGACGAACGTAATCTCACACCCAACACAATACTTGGATAACGTGTTGGGAAGTCGGTCGAAGAAATTATCTTCCAAACAGCGTAGTCGGGAGTTTTTGTGCTAACTTCGGACTGGATACATTTTAAGGACGACAATTTTGATAATATGTGATATTCATATTGCTCCGAATATCGTAAGCATTGTACCAATCTGTTTAATGTAAATGGAAGTGTTTGTCGTGGGCTGTGCATATAACACTTCAATCTATTGACAGCAGTGAGTATTTCATATGTGCTGGTATTGATTTCTTGATGTTGTAGTACCAGTATAATTAACGCCATGCTAAACACCGTTCTGATGTTTAGCATCTTGGCGAGGCAAGTCCAGTAATGAGATGTCGATGTTGACATTATTTAATAATGCCGTTGTTATTTTCGTCAAGGTTCGAGATTTTCAGGAGTTCAGGCCGAATATAACCGAAGTCATGTGATTCTTAAAGGTTAGCAGGAACAAGGAGGATTAGAATCTACGTGCGAGTGCTAGGTCTCTCTTTTTCCTTTACTGGAGCTGTAAATGTTTGATGTTGTTTTTGTTCTAGTTGACGTTGCACTGCCAGTTTTTCTTTTCTTTTCTGGCCGTCACAACACGATGTGTAATGCTTACCATAACATAATTTCATTATTTTCCCAATAGGTTACGCATCGGCGGAAACAGAGACATCGTCTCCAACTACTGCTTCGTTACAGGTAAGTCATCATCTTTCATAAAATCAATTTCTTTCACTCTATTGTGAGAGAGAAAAGTGCTATACATAAAGTGTAATTTTAAACATCTCGACCTTTTTCAGTCCGCAATGAATATCTTTGTCATTCACGTGCGATTGATTTTTTACACAGTAATCTATCACCGATATTTAAGGAGCTCAGATTACAAAACTGACTATATCGTGTTTATGCTCTTAATTGTAATTTAATTCAAAGACGTAATGTTCATTAAAGGGATAGTTGAGTTCTGTTTTAAGACCGCGAATGCCCTCAAAGTGCATGGTTATTGCTCTTATTCTTATCTTTGACATTTCTAGTGCCCTTTTAGAACCTAAAATCGCTATAAAGTTAATTCTAGACCCCAAAATGTGTGAAATTTAGCAAACACGAGCATACCAATTCAGCTCCACTTAAGAAAAAAAACGATATTTGTCAACGTTTTTTCAAATTGTTAAAAATATCAAATAAAAATTATTTGTGGTGGTATACAAGTATTAGAAATCGTTATATTTCTGCCGTCTCCTAACCGATTTTGATCAAACAAAGATGATTTTGTCATTTAAATATTACGTTCTTTCAAATTTGACCCTCAGTTTTTCATTATCTCACAACAAAATTATTTTGTGTAGCGCCCCCTGCAACAGAACTCAACTATCCCTTTAAGTCTATACAAAATGATTTAATTTACATCTGTACACATATTAGGGCATGATTAGCTTTTCATTTTGCTTCATTTTACTGGGAGTTAGGGATTAATGTTCAATTATGAAAGTACCGTACCCTGTCCTTGAAACGATATATATTTGTATATACACACTCATATTGTTAAACGAATGCAGACTCCAAATGATAGAGAATGTGGATTTTCTTTTGTACATGTATACGTTTACAGCCAAGAGTCATATACAATAGTAAAGCTCATAAATTATTATGATTTAATTTTTTTTTAAAGGGATTGGATGGGTTAAAGAGAGAGAAAAGGAGAGAAAAGAAGAAGAAGAAGAAGAAGAAGAAGAGGACAGGTAGAAGGACATGAAAGAGGAGAAGTAGGAGGAGAAGTAGGAGGACGAAAACAAGGAAGAGAGAAAGTGTGGATTACCGGGGGAGGTGTGAATACCTACCCTTTGTTGGACATTGTGGGTGCCAATTGAAAGAAATGAGGGACGGTAAGACGTGGGATTAAGAGGGAAGATGGTTAGGTGTTACATCGTCAACGAATGGTTACACTATGAAAACAGCGAAGCAAGTACTAATTCAATATTCAGGCAAATCAACCATATGGCCGAACACAAGGGGCAGGTGTGCGCGTTAAACTTACTTCATTTATTATATTCTCGCCTGGGGGGATAAAGGTGCATCGACATTTTCCACTCTCTGCACCGGCGACACTTGCTTGACACGTGTAATTTTCATGGCTTATGCAAGACGTGCGTGACACACTGACATTTATTAACCAGGCTCCCTCAAAAGGCAATTTGTTCGCAAATGATCGCAGATGCGATCTGCATTATTCATTGCAGTATGAATTGCCCGCCCATACCATCATACCCGCCCTTGCAATAGGCCTAATGCAAGTTTAAATTTTGGTTTTGACGCTGGAAGCTCAGAAATGGATATCTAGATATTGTTTTGAAGGCCAGGATAAAATGTCAACACATGGAATCTGGTTGAGACAGTTCACGGTTTGCGTTGAGATATTTTAAGGCATCATTGACACGGTCAGGCGCGTACGCGGGGGGTGGGGTGTTTAAAAAAAAAAATGTAAACTCCGTAACCCTCCCAGGATTTTTTAAATGTTATTAAGTAACATTTTATACAAAGAGTACGCAGTTTTCTCATTAACTTTCAACAATGTTACCGAGTCACTTTAAAGATTTTCTGATATAATATTGAAACAACCTCGATTACTGCATTGTTGAATTAATTACAAAATGTTGGATATAAACATGAAGGTTTTTGTTCTAAACAGATGCAAAATAAAATGGAAATGTCATAAATTGAATAGAAGACTACTATTTGCTCCATAAAACTAACATATTTTCATCAATGTACAGAAGTTTGACTTTAAATTTGAAAATCAACTCCATAAATTATAAATAGATCTGCTTGTAAAAACACTAGATATTACTGAAATATCACTTTGGTTGATAAACATTCAAGCATTTACTAATCTAGAAGCATTTATTTTATAAGAAAGTAATAACTACTTTTTGGCTCTAAAAAACTGTAATTTTTTGCTTCTTGTTCTCATTTCACTGAAAATCTATCATATTTAACCAGTAATTTTTTTATAATTCAGTCATAATAATAAAGGGGTCGGTAGTGACACCACCAAGGCGTCTCTTTAGATGCACGAATGTGTTGACCGCGCCATACGGGTCACGCGAGGAGATAAATAACGCGGACGCGCATAGACAGACGCCTTTTACGTCACTTCCAATCTCTTGCCAGGAAGCAGGTATATTGCGACTGAATCATAAACATAATAATAATAATAATATTAATGAACGTTATTTGTATAGCGCATATCACTAACACAAAGAAAGTCCCTATGGGCTTAGAAAAGAAGGGAATAGAGATAGGGCGGAATAGAAGTGAACATTTATGCCTGATACATGAAAATAATTAATTACAAACAACAATAATGATACACAATGCCTATATAGCTTACATGTAATAGATAGTACATTCAGGTAATACAAATTTTTAGAAATGAAAATTAAATGAAATTTTCATTAAATATTAAATATGTACATGATACTATAACCAAAGAAGTCACTAAACAGCTGGAACAAAATTAACAATTTACAAGAAGATAATAGTTAAATAAGATGATTGATTTTCAGTAAAATGACAACAAAAAGGAAATACTATCAATTTGCACAAATTGCATTTTTAGCTTCTCAGACCGTTTGGTCCTGCAGGTGAAGTTCAAAATGATTATACCTTTTTTTCAAATCCAAAAAGTAACAAGACTTGCCCTCTCATTATACAAAACATTGTGCCACGGGTCAACGGGACACAAGGTTTGGTCTTACACAGTGCAATACTTGAGCTTCATGATAAGGGAGGTCAAAACATGGGGCGGGAACATTTGACTTTGTGTCCCCCTCCCTTGAAAATGGGAGGGGGACATGTCCCCCTGTCCGCCCATGATCGACATCTATGCCACTTGACATGAGTGGTTGTTAAGCGCTTTCTAAAGTGATAATTACTTCCAGGTTTAGCCGAACCACTCCGAGAATTTGCTCATTCATTTAGGGAATTACTTTCTACCTGATATCATTTCATTTAACTAGGTGGAGAGTGAAAAAAATACATCAGAGCTTCATATTCATCAGCGAATTAAAAATGACTTTGCTGGAAAGTCACGATATGTGGACCGAAAAAACGAATAACACTTTAAATATTTCTCATTACATTGAGTGGATCGCGAGAGAACATGGAACATTATGGGATTAGACCATCAATTTGGACGCTGGCAGATATAGCAATTAGTAAATCTGTTGAAATGATAAGGATTGAATGTATGCAAAGCTAGTCTGCATTTTGAATAGGGTATGCAAGCTTATAGGCCTCACAATGCAAGGCTGACAGGGAGGGAGTGATATTGGTGGAGTAATTATATTAGGCCTTAATGAGGTTGAAAACAAATTACATGTACCATGTCATTAGCAACCAAGTGTATTAAAGCTACGTCTCTCCCAGTCGAGACCACTAATTATAGTTCAGTTTCTATGCTAACTAACCTTTATTGCGAGTAGGTCCGTCGTAACTACAACAATTGCGATAAACAAAACACAGACAATAGCAGTGACTCGTCGGAAGAGGCCCCCCCCCCCCCCCAGATTTCCTAGTGTCCATACACTGGTTTGCAAAATTGTTTAATCGCAGTTGCTGGCGAAAGCAGGGGGTGTCTTAGGGCTCATACCCGCCTTGTCCCATCACATCAGCGAAAGGGGGGGGGGGGAGTGAAAACAGAGAAAGAAAGATCGATAGATCGAGAAAGAAATAACACAAAGAAAGAAAGAAAGAAAAGTGCAACAAAGTGAGGTGAAGGCACTTGAAATAACCTTCCAACCCCCACACACATATCACACACACCAACACACATCTCCCCTTCACTCACCTCCTCTTCACTCACTCGATCGGATTGTTCCCTCGCATTTCAATTCCAGCCCCCCCCCCCCCCTCTCATCTGACTCGAGTACACCGTCAATGGCTGAATTAACCCTATGATTATACGCATGTTATAAAAACACTCACTCTTTCCGACATTCGAATACGTGCGTCTAAAACTAAGAAGGCTTTCATTAAAAAAAATTCTCGAATCCCCAACATTTTTGACCAAATTAATTTGCTTTATAATTTGGGAAGGGGAGGGGTGGCCTTAAAGGGAAAGTCCACCCCCAAAATAAGTTTGTTTCGATAGAGGCAGAATAATAAGAAAATCAGGTGAGTGAAAGTTTGAGCAAATTCTGAATGAAAATAAGAAAGTTATGAATTATTGAAGTTGTGATCAATCAAATACAAATTGGCAACTCTGTGACTTATTATACGAGCTCTCCTTCATTTGCTTTGTGCATAATATTCCATAAAATCATGTTTTCTTCGTTATTGATGACGGAATATATATTTGTTCCTTGCAGGGGGAGTATAGAAACATATTTGCAATTATTATATTTAGGGTGCATGTATGGTTGAAATTTTTCTTGAGGGAAAATGACAATTTTAGATTTTTTTAGTACTGAGCAAATGGAAGTTGAGCTCGCATGATACGTCATAGAGTTGCCAATTTGTGTTTGATTGATCGCAACTTCAAAAATCCTAACTTCCTTATTTTTAATCGGAATTTGCTCAAACTTTCACTTACTTGTTTCTCTCATTTTTCTACTCCTATTAAAACTAACTTAATTTCAGGGTGGACTTTCCCTTTAAAGGTCGAGCAATAAATCAAATAATATCCCCATCGCATACAACAA